TTATTTATTATCTTTATATATATATATATATATATATATATATATCTTAGTGGAACTATAACATATCCTTCACATATATATACAATAATCAAAAAATAAAAAAATAGTCCTAGTTTCTTTTACCTCAAGATTAATTAAAAATAATAAAAAAAGAATGAAATGAAGCTTTTCAAGAACTTTGCACTAAACTTCTACAATAACTTAATTCTCAACCTTTCAAACTTTGAATATCAACATCAATCTAAAGCGTTTTTCTCTAATTTATTTAAAAAAATAAACTTATGAAATTCAAATCTTAAAAGAAATCTCATATATTTTTTTCTATAAGTCCAACAAAACCTTTATATAGAAAACTTCTAAACAATTAAAACTCTTTAAGGCTTCCTAAATTCTCAATATTTCTCAACAATCAAACCACAAAATCATCGCAACATATAATTCAACAAAAGCAACAATAATCAATACAAAAGTACAGTGTTACTCATTACATAATTTTTTAAATATAAATAAATTTATGAATAAAATTAAAAATGACAATATATAATTTTAGTATTAATAAATAAGTATTTTGTTATATTAAATAGGACTAAATTAAAGAAGTAATATTTTAAAGCGAAGAAGACATTGGGAAAAATTAATATTAGTTAAATTTAAAATATTTTAAATTCAAGCTATTAAAAATAAAAATAAAATTGTTATAACATATTAAAATTTAAATTAAAATACAATCAAAATTAGATTTAACAACAAATACCTGAAAATAACAAAAATATAAGTTAATGAAAATTAAATGCTCGCATAGCTTAAGAAGTATAGGAACAATTCTTATGCCACCAAAAAAAATAGGAATAATTCTTAAAAATATTCTTATTAATGGACAAATGTTCAAAAAATTTAGTAAATTTAAAGAATAAGTAGTATAACCCTTTGGTTTAACTTAATTTGTTGAATAAAATGAGTGAATTGTTGTAAATATCTTCCAAAGCACTTTATTCTGTCTCCAATGAAATCGTTGATAAGTTTGTTTTGATACAAGTTAAATATAATTTAAATTTTTTATATATATAAAAATAAGGAGTTTTTAAATATTTTTATAAAAAAAATAAACACCTCCAAATTTATATGCTATCAGACAGATTTCTGAATAAAAGTTTTTTAAAAAATAAAATATAAAATATATTAACGTTTAGTTAAGTTGTCAACCGAAAGAGGCACATGATGTTGATTTAAAATTTAAAATAAAAAAGGTGCAAGATGTTTCTTATTTGCGAGCCCCCCTCTCACATGCCAAAAACGTGATGCAGGGGTAAGATTGTCATTGCACAGTATTCTCCAACCTTCACTATATATACCCTCTCCTCCAAATTCTAGGGTATAAAAAGCCCCAAATTTCTCCGCTCCCTAACGCTATCGAGCCAAACCCAAACGTTAACTCAGACGAAGCACCAGCAGAAGAAGAAACAAAACCGAACCACTCTCAACTCTCCAACGTCGCCACCCGATTCGTAATACCAATTCCAACCCTCAGATCTCCGTTTTTCCGCTTCTGCGTTTTCTCGCTTCACCGCAATCGCTGTTATCGTTTTTATTTTATAGTTTTTATTATTACTTAAAATTCTCTGAATTCCTTCGAATTGTTTCGGTTGTGTCACCAACGCGCGCGTTTCAATCGACGCAGATCGCGTTTCGCAAGCTACAATGGCGACGTTCGAACTGTACCGTAGGTCGACGATCGGAATGTGCCTGACGGAGACGTTGGACGAGATGGTTCAGAACGGCACTCTCAGCCCCGAGCTCGCGATTCAGGTTCTGGTCCAGTTCGATAAGGTAAGGTTTTCAATTGGTTATAATGGTTCGGTTTTATGGATCTGTTTTAACGCTTTTTTCTTTTATAAAAAAAAATAATAATAATTCATGTGTGTGGATGTTATTTTAGTCCATGACTGAGGCTCTGGAAACGCAAGTTAAGAGCAAGGTCTCCATCAAGGTAACACCGTTTATTTATTTTCCACGTTTTTTCATGTATTGTGTTTGAGATGTTAAATTTTGGATATGGTGTGGGCATTTGTTTACTCTTCTGCTGTTGGATGTAGTTAGGGTTGGAATGACTCGAGGTGTTATTGTATGAAGTGGATGCTCTTTTTTTTGTTCGATGAGTTGAGCTTGAGTTTTTTTCTTTATGTATGATTAGCTTAATACAATTTAGTCCAAATTAAATTGAATGATAATGTTTACTTAGTTTGAGCTATTGTTTTGAGTCATTGTATCAAAATTTTCTGTTCATTCAGTCGTTATGAATTGAGCTGCTAGCAAGCTTACAAGCTGGTGGCAAGGTTCTCTTCCAGTCCTAGTTGTGGGTTTGTGCAATTTGGTGTGTGAGGACATGTTTGCTTGTGTTCTTGCTGTCATAGTCTTGCCTTTTTTATTTGTCACGCGAGGGAATAGATAAAGCATTAATTATATTTTGCTAACTTTATCCTTAAGATTAATTATGGTAGCCAATAGCTGATAGCGGCGCGAAACGTCTGCTCCAAAATTGCCGAAGGAATATACCAAGATAGCTGCGGTTTTGAAATATATTTAATTGTTGCTTTTTTATTTGTTATGTTTGTTCTGTTTGTGTGAATTTATATTATTAAATATGATATATTTTCAATATCCTGTAATATTATAGAATACCCAAGTTTTATATGTTCAATAGAAAGAAATTAGCACTGTTTGGGGGTGGAGAGTGGCCCAATTTGAGGTGCAAGTTCAACATCCCTTTCTCATCCAGAAAAAACTAGCCTCTTTCTCCACAGATGACATGAGAAAAGAAGCCACAAGAGCTCTAGGGCAAGAAAATGCGAAGAGATTGATTAGGATAAAGGCTGGGACTGAGATTTAACAGACAGACGAAGCCCCCCTCCCCACCCCCCTCCCCCCTCCCCCCTCCCCGCCCCAGCTCCAGA